CCGAAGAAGGCAGGGGGGGCCTCCCTGAGGAGGCAGGGGCCCTCCTGGCCTTCTCTTTGGAGGCCCGGGCGTCGCGCAGAAAGGCCCCCGCCCTCTGGGAGAGCCCCCCCATGACTTTCTCGGGGAGGCCCCCCCCCCCCCGGGAGCGCCACCCCGCTTCGTGCGCGCGCGGCCAGCGAGAGGAGGGCGTCGTCGTCGTCGTCGTCGTCGTCGTCGTCGTCGTCGTCGTCGTCGTCGTCGTCGTCGACCTCGTCAACGTCGTCGTCGTCGTCGTCGTCGTCGTCGTCGTCGTCGTCGTCGTCGTCGTCGATCGCGCCGTCGCGGGCTGAGGAGTCGCGGTGCCGAGAGGACGCCGAGGCCAACAGCGAGCTGGCGGCGCAGACCGCCCAGCATGTCCAGGCACTGGAGAGGCTGACGGCGCAGTGGCAGGCGAGGGGGGCGAGGGGGAGGAGCAGGACGAGGAGGAGGAGGAGGAGGAGGAGGAGGAGGGAAGGAGGAGGAAGAATAGGAGGATAGGAGGCAGGAGGAGGAGTAGGAGGAGGAGAGGAGGAGGAGGCGAGGCGGAGGAGGAGGAGAGGAGGAGGAGGAGGAGGGGGAGGGTGAGGGGGAGGGGGAGAAGGAGGGGGAGGGAGAACCGGGAGGAGGGGGAGAGGAGGAGGAGGAGGAGGAGGAGAGAGAGGAGGAGGAGGAGGAAGAGGAGGAGCAGGAGGAGGAGGACGACAACGAGGAGGAGGAGGAGGAGGAGGAGGAGGAGGAGGAGGAGGAGAAGGACGAGGAGGAAGAGGATAAGGAGGAGGAGGAGGAAGAGGAGGAGGAGGAAGAGGAGGAGTAGGAGAAGGAAAGGGAAGAGGTGGGGAGGAGGCGAATGGGACAGGACAGAGGTTATAGAAGGACTTTGCTGGACTGTGCGATACTGGTCCAGGGCAGATGGGGAGAACTACGCAAGACGGTTCGCGCCGTGTGGGTATAGCTTACACGGGTGTTTCTAACATGCGGAGCGTGAGGCAGCACGTTGGCGAGAACGCAGGCAGAAGTCGGAGCCTGAATTTGCACCTGATGGCAGCGCACTCCGTACTATTTGGTCCTTGGGGCACTGTTGCTTCTCATGGCATGTCCCGTCGACGTGTTCTTTACTTTATTTTCTGTTCTTCGGGCCCTAGGCTTCTGATGGCCGGCCCTGCGCCGCTTCGAAGGCCAGAGGTCCGAGGGAGGGGCGAGGGCGGTGGGGAGGATGATGGGGAAGGAGCTGGAAAGAATCGGCGGAGCGACACCCACAGTTCAGACCGTCCCCTACTCGATCTTATTATCAGTTTCTTCTTATTGATATTCTGCATCTTATTATTCTTGTTCTACGGTTAGTATCCATATAGTGGCCACTGGCAACATGCTTCCGGGACGGGTCCATCATGTGTTGCTTCAGCCTCGTCGCCGACAGCCGCCAGCAGGCGCGGTGCGCATCGACAGCCTGCAGCCTCGCACCGGACGCTGGAGCCTAACACCAGCACTTATGGCCCTTCTGATGACCAGCCATTTACGCGGTCGTCCCAATCCATGTGGCGGCCCCTTCCGTCAGTACCCTTCCCAAGTTTGATGGAAAAAGCTCGCAGAGGGTGCCGAGGCAGGCGGACTGCCTGCGAGAAGAATTGCTCGGTTATCATGGGAGGAGGATGAGGAGGTGGGGGAGGAAGAGGAGGAGGAGGAGGAGGAGGAGGAGGAGGAGGAGGAGGAGGAGGAGGAGGAGGAGGAGGAGGAGCATGAGGAGGAGAAGGATCGACCATGTAACCAACAGCAACAAGGGGAGGAGGAGGAGGAGGCGAGGAGGCGGGCGAGAGGGCGGGGAGGATGCGAAGGAGGCGAGGCGAGGAGGAGGCGGCGGCCAAGAGGGGGAGACCTCCGAGATCTGGGCGCTGGATTTTTCTGTTCGCCCAGGGATCGGGCCGCGGGGCCATCGAGCTGGCCCGAGGCAGGCAGAGGACGGAGGGCGTCTCGGGCTCCAGCCGCGGCGCGTCGCGAGTCCGCACCCCGCTGGACAGCGTCGGATGACAGGCCGCGGGCGGGGGATTTGAGCTGGCCGCGGGCGGGAGCGAGGCGCCCGCCCCCCAGGTGCGCGCGGCAGCGTGCGGGGGCCGCACGAGGGGGGGGGGGCCGAGGAGGGCGGGAGCGAGGGGCCCACAGAGGCCGATGGCACGGCGGAGGCGCCAGGACCGAGGAGGCAGCGCGGCCCGAGGCCGACAAGGGGGACAGCACACCCTCCTCCTCCTCGCTCTCCTCCGCCTCCTCCGCCTCCTCCTCCTCCTCCTCCTCCTCCGCCTCCTCCTCCTCCTCCTCCTGGAGTCCTCCTCCT